GCGATCATAAGCCCAAGTTGTCTGGTTTAATCACATGATGCTGAGCCCTGCTAAGACCTGTGTGATACCAAATGATTCCCTTGGCATTGTTTGTTAGACTAATTAGTGTCAGCAATGAATGAATGCTGAATTGAGAGAGAGAGAGAATGTAACTGCGTGTCCAAAGGATATACAGATTTTAACCAACATTTGGTGTAGAAGAGCAAGTTTTCAAAGCTGCAGTTTTCTTACTGGTGGTTTTGTTTTTTTGAGACAGTCTTGCTCTTGCTCAGAATGCAGTGGTAGAATCACAACTCATTGCAGCCTCAACCTCCTGGGCGCAAGCGATCCTCCACTTTAGCCTTCCAAGTAGCTGGAACTACAGGTATGCACGCCCAGCTAATTTTAAAATTTTTGTAGAAACAGAGTCTCCCTGTGTTTCTCAGGCTGTTCTCAAACTCCTGGGCTCAAGCAGTCCTCCCATCTCTTCCCTAAAATGCTGGGATTATAGGCATGAGACATTGTACCCTGCAAGGTTGTTTTTGAAAAACAAATACATTTTAAAATAGCAGAGGAGGCTGGGCATGGTGACTTATGCCTGTAATTCCAGCGCTTTGGGAGGGTGAGGCAGGCAGATCACCTGAGGTCCAGAGTTTGAGACCAGCCTGACCAACTTGGAGAAACCCCATCTCTACTAAAAATACACAATTACCCAGGTGTCGTGGCGCATGCCTGTAATTCCAGCTACTCGGGAGGCTGAGGCAGGAGAATCGCTTGAACCAGGAATGTGGAGGTTGCAGTGAGCAGATATCGTGCCATTGCACTCCACCCTGGGCAACAAGAGTGAAACTCAGTCTCAAAAAAAAAAAAAAAAAAAAAAAAAAAAAAAAAAAGGGTGTTTCTACAGGTCTCCATATTGGGCAGTTTTTTTTTTTTTTTTTAAATAAAAATATGGAACGCTTCAAGAATTTGTGTGCCCTTCTTGCGCAGGGGCCATGCTAATCTTCTCTGTATCGTTCCAATTTTAGTATATGTGCTGCTGAAGCGAGCACAGGACAGATTTTTTGGAAAACCTTTCAGTAGCTGTTTTCACACAAATTTGTTACTGGCAATTAAAATGAAAAGACTGGATTGGTGGAGATGGAGTCATTCCCAGCATCTCTTGGTGAATCAGAGCTGTGAAGCTTGTTCTGCTTAGAAGTTGGCCCAAGGATTTGGTGGGAGAACTGAATAAATTAGTTTTAATCTAAAAGCCTTGACACTAACAGGATGTAGGGGAAAACATAAGCTTCTAGGACTGTGCAGCCATTTTGGGTGCCTCACTAGCTCTTCCTTTGCTGGAGGATAGGTGAAATTATTGCCATAACCACCTCAGAAGGCCATTTGAAAATCTTGGCCAGGTGTGGTGGCTCATGCCTGTAATCATAGCACTTTGGGTGGCCTAGGCGGGTGGATCATTTGAGGTCAGGAGTTTGAGACCAGCCTGGCCAACATGGTGAAACCCTGTCTCTACTCAAAATGTAAAAATTAGCTGGGCATGGTGGTACACGCCTGTAATCCCAGCCACTCGGGAGGCTAAGGCGAGAAAATCACTTGGACCCAGGAGGTGAAGGCTGTAGTGAACCAAGTTCATGCCACTGCATTCCAGCCTGGGCAAAAGAGTGAGACTCCATATAAAAAAAAATAAAAAAAAAAAAATTGAAAATCTTCATTGGAAATGCTTTGAAAATCTGAAACAACACTAAAAATATATTGTAGTTGTTAATAATACCATCAGGTCAGTTATATTGTGCTGTGGTATTATATTTCAGAGTTGAATCTGAATTTAATTTTGTAGCCACAGAAAATAATCTGTAGTTTAGTCTATTTGGAATTCTTTTTTTTTAATTGGTCTAGGTGAAGCCAATTAATCCTAATTCTTCTTTTCTCAGTACTGGTGTGTTTCAGCAGGTACATGTTATAACCTCACTTGTCTATCAGATGAATTGACCCTGGCACTGAGTGACAGATGCCACCACCAAATTGTCCTCAATCCCAATGTTAACCAGCTCTTCTCCTTCTTTTCCAGTCCCACGCCTTTGACATCTCATCCTTCAGTCTCTTTGCTGTAAAGGCAACTTGAACAAGCGTCAGCCCTTTCTCAGACTTCCAGGGCAGGACTTGAATGGATTTGACCCTGGAATTGTTCCTGATGCAGCCTTGTTCAGTTCTTGCTGCTGCCATGCTGGATTCCAAAGATCCACTCTTTCCTCGACTGGTCTCGCAGGGTCAGGCCCATTGGTTAAAGCTTGTTGTGTATTTGGTGGGGAGGTTCAAAATGAAGGAGGGACTCCAGTCCACTTTGGGCATTGGACCTGGAGGCAAAAAATAAGCGTTCAGTCTAAAAGCACTAAGTCCCCATTGTTTAGGCAGCTGTTAATCAGCCACGTTTCTATGAAAATAAGTCCTTTTCATGAGGCAATTGTGTGGGAATAGCTAATTCTGGCCTGATGCTGTGCAGTGTGAGGTTAAAAACATGGTAACTTGTCACAACACAATTCTTCTTGTTCTTTTTGCTGTGGGCTGACTCTACATTACTTGCTTTGTTTGCTCTAGAATGGAATCTACTCACCATTTACTAAAATGAAATGCATTTCTTTGGGGAGGCAAAGTCCATTTCACTAGGTCTTGCATCTTAAAGAGAAAGGAGCCCTGCTTCCTCTATGACTAATTATTAGGAATGTCATTTCGCTTATTTAAATACCAATTTCGGTTCTGGGATTGAATATTATATGCAGGGTCTACTATGTGTCTTAGTTTAAAGAAATTTATATGTGTTGTCCACATATTTTGTCCATGTCTTATTCCTTGTAGTACAGATTAATTTTCAAAATAGTTAGCAGTAAGTGAGGTAAGCATCAGAGAGAAAGCTTGGCATAGTAGAAAGTGCACAAGCTTTGTATTCTGACAAATGTGGGTAATATCCTGACCTCAGGCAAGTTATTTAACCTCTAGGCCTTATTTCCTCCTTTGAAAAATGAGAATAATGAAGTTCACTGGACTGTGTTTAGAGGATAATGTATGAAAAATCCCTGGCCTCAGTAATTATGAGTAATCTTCCACCAAAACCATCCTTTGCATTTTTTCTAGAAGTCAGTTCTGAACTCCTGATCTCCATAGGGTAGTGTTTCAGGAAGGAGGGGCTGGACCTTTCAGCAGCCCTGGACGCTGTTTCACTTTTGACTAACAAGCTTTATACCACGGACACGGTGTCTCCCCACGTACCTAGATGTCTTTGGTTTTCCTCAAAAATTTGTGTACTCTTAGCCACTAAGCAGCTGAAGAACAGGCTAGATCTTCTCTGATAAGAGTTTGGGCCTAATGTCTTACTTTGGAATTTGCTACTCCATTTCTTCACAGCAGTTTGACTAATAGAAATCCAGTATTGGGGAAGCCATTTGTTCAAATCCCTTGGCCTGCCTGCTCTTAAAGGATAGGCTCCTCAGAGATTTTATAAGCACCTTGCTTAATTTACAGTTACAGGATGGTGTATACCGTGTAGCCGATTTCAGTTGGTCCTTTACATCTTGTGATTGGGGGATCTTTCTTGGAGGTTTTTAATAGCAGATGGCTTCTTTACATCATTGTGACAGTTGGTATAGACATTTACCCAAGCAGATTTATATCCATCACATTTCAGATCTGTCAGCATTTAGAGGTCATTCCCATTTTCCTTCTCCTTTCTCCTAGCAGCCTTTTCATATTAGTAGGGCTTGCCAGGACAGTGATGGAAAGAGAGGATCGCCTCAATAAAAGGAGGGCAGCTTTGCCAGTTTGTAGTTTAAAATACGTAAGTAAATCACAAATCTCCCTAATGCAGATATCCATAGACTCAAGCTGTAAATTGCTATACCATCACCACCGTATAAGAACTATTACTTTTGTCCCCACTTCAGGCAACCCTGAACTAGGTTCTTTTTTGCATGTGAACAACAGGAAAAGAAAGATGCTTCCTTATAACAAAAATGATCAGATATTTAGTTATGTTGCAGTAATCATTTCAGTAAAGAATTATGTTTATCATTTAAGTTGAGGAGTGGAATGATTTTGAGTATCCCAATAGAGGTTACTAGTTCTTTTAAAACATCGTCGGTCATGTCTGATTTTCTTCTAGGTATTTGCTCAGGAATATAATTCCCAATTATATAACATTGTTCCTTTAGGAAAGCACACTTTGTCTAATGGCACAGTTTCAAAAAATAGATCTTAGAGGTAGGGAAAAAAATTCTGTAACCCAGTTGCTGAATATATAAGGTACTGGAGGGAGCGCAAAGGGGGCAGCAAGTACCCACATAGATGTGATGGGCAGAGGGAACACCATTGGATGGGTGCTCCTTATAGTATGGCACTGGCAGCCTGTACCTCATATGTCCCTGTCATCCATGGTCTTAGTCTCTGCTGTCACTCAGCTCTGTTCCTATCTGAAACACCAACATGCTATGCTTTTAACTCTTGCCACCTACCTTTGCTCTGCTTGTCCTTCAGTGACAAATGCATGAGGCACTTTTCAGGAGATGAAATAATTAAAACTCTTGAGGATGTGACCCATTTCACATTGAGAAATCAGTTGCCCTTGAATGGAGTAACCATTTTTCCCCTAAGTTTGCAAAAGAGGCCGCGGTTGTGACATGGTGGAAGGAAACAGAAAAATTCCTTTCCATGAGGGAATGTCTAAATTCATGTGTCCTGTGGGAGGAGGACTACAGGCAGAAATAGCGAGGTGAGGCAGGAACATGAGAGGGATTTTCTTGATTTAGTTTGAATATCTAAGTGACAAAAAGGAGCATCTGAAGAACTTAGATTCTTTCATTAGCACCTCCTTTTGGTCCATTGGCCTATTGAACAAATCTATAAATTCCTTCAAGTATCACACTGTTTTCAGCTCAGTGTGCTGAGGGCTCTAGACCAAAGATGACTCCGTAAGATTACAGAGGTTATTCCCTATGTGCAGTAACATCATTCTCATTCTCTTTCATTTTCAGGGAAGCAGAGACTTTCAAGGAGCAAGGAAATGCATACTATGCCAAGAAAGATTACAATGAAGCTTATAATTATTATACAAAAGCCATAGGTGAGAAAGTCCTGATACTCTTGCTAGAAAACACTTACTTGCCAAATATTATTAAAAGCTGCCATTTGTGGTGGCTCATGCCTGTAATCCCAGCACTTTGAGAGGCTGAGGCAGGTTAACCACCTGAGGTCATTAGTTCAAGACCAGCCTGGGCAACAAAACAAGACTTCATCTCAAAAAGATAAAAAACGTTGTCTCATGCCTGTAATCCCAACACCTTGGGAGGCCTAGGCGGGTGGATCATCTGAGGTCAGGATTTTGAGACCAGCCTGGCCAACATGGCGAAACCCTGTCTCTACAAAAATTAGCTGGATGTGGTGGTGGGTACCTGTAACCCAGCTACTTAGGAGGCTGAGTCAGGGAGAATCACTTTAACCCAGGAAGTGGAGGTTGCAGTGAGCTGAGATCATGCCATTGCACTCCATCCTGGGTGATAAAGCAA